CTGGGGCTCAGTGTCCTACTGTGCCACCCTGTGTCTCTGGGGCTCAGTGTCCTGCTTTCTTCTGTCTTTCAACATCTTTCCTTTCTCTCTCTTCATTGCAGACTGTAATTTTAACTTCTGTCTTTTAAAAGAGGGTTATTTGCCTTCTTGGCTTGTTCTTGGCCAGTACCTGTGACTGCAGTGGTCTCAGCACAGAGGAGCCTGTGAGAAGCTGCACTGAGCTGCCCAGCTGTGTTGACCAGGCTCCTGCCCGAGAAGCTCTGTTCCTTGAGCACAAGCTGCATTGGCAGAGTGGACATCTGGCCTTGTGGTGCTGCCCCTGATGTGGTTCTGTTCTCTCCTTCTCTTTTAGTCAGCGCTATGAAACCCTCCTGAAGGAGCTGGAGCGCAAGTCGGAGCAGCACAGAGAGCTCCTGTCCAGCCTGCAGCAGGAGTACCAGCGTGCCCAGGGCCGAGCGGCAGTCAAAGTGTGAGACTTTCAAAGAGCACTGTGGCCCGGCCATCTGACCGACACTCACAGACTCCCTGCTCACCACATCGATGAGCAGAAACAAGCTTGTGCTTCAGCAGAAAGAAGAATTTAATTTGACTGTTTTTTTTATTATTTCTGAAATATTAATAAACTTATTTGCAGAATAATGTTTTCTGTTCTTCTGTGCACTGCTTTTTCTGTGTTATTTTTTTAAAACGATTTAAGTGTCGCTGCTTGTTAGAATATCTTGATTCTATAAAAGAGACGGCTGTTGTAGCAGTTCTCACCCAACAAACGACATTCCCCAGGTTAAATTTCTGCACTGGTTCATCAGTTACCCAGAGGTATGAGAGAACTCAAGTTTAACAGAATACCACCTGGTTCTACAGTAAGATAGCCCTGGCAGGTGTAAACAGTACCTAGCAGTTTAAGGTTTTTATTCTAAAACACAACATGTAATTCTTTGTATTTTCTTGGCTAAATTATGATTTATCTTTTGTTTCTCCGCTCTTTGAAATAAATGTTCTGTTGGTTAAGGAGAGCTGTTAAGTGAATAACAAGGTATTAGACATTTTCATTTATTTCACAAACTACCTCCCCTTTGACAATCTTTTCAGTGATTGTGTGTAAAGCTGTTTTTTTAAAGTTGTGTTTTTGAGATTGGAAATGAAAAAAATATTAGGAATGCTTGTTTCCATCAGTGACTATATATGGCATCCTTAATAAATAGCTGAATTAAGCAGCTAAGGACCATTAATGCACAAGAGGGGTCACTTCACAGGTGGGTGTTACCTCTAGAAATGGCAAAGAGGTCACTTGACCTTTTTTTCAAATCGCAGCAGAGGTGGTGTGACTTTGTATGCATCACAACATTCTTACACAACTGCCAGCTACCTAATGTTTGGAAATGTTCCCAGAGTATCCCAATGTTTTCTGATGTTTCCCCACTGTTCTCAGAAGTACATTAATGTTCCCAGATGTTCTCTTAAGTTCTCCAATATTCCCTATTATCCCAAAATGTTCCCTGAAGTTCCCAGTGTATCCAAATGTTCACACTTATTCCAAATTGTTTCTAAATATTCCCAAATGTTTACCCGTACTCCTATAAAGTCCCTTATGTTGCTAATTATTTCCTAATTATTACTAATGTTCCCAAATTTTGCAATTGTACCCAAAAGTTTACTAATATTCTCAAAAGTCCCCAAATATTTCACCAGTGCAACACAAGCTGATGACAGTCTGCTGCGGCTTCGGATTTGCAGACCTTGTGTGATGCCCCCAGCCAAGTGTCCTGTAGGCCCCCCTCTATCCCCATTGGAGTCAGCTTGAAACTGCCAGCTGCCTGCCTGCCCATTGTCCTTTCTTGTCACTGGGACGCTGCACTGGTGCCCCTTCCCTGGCCGTGCTTGCATGCTGTCCTGGTCTCTGGAGGAGAGCCCTTGTGAAGAAAGCCTGCTTCCCTCAGCCCAGTACCTGGGGCACCTCCTGCTGGAATGCCCTGAGGACATACTGTCTATTCTCCCCGGCTCCAAGTGCAGACCAACCAGTCCTTTCTCATCACTGGTTTTCCTGACACAGCAGAGTCCATTTTGAGCATGCTGGCCGCTACCCCTGGATAGTGACACCCTCACACCTGGGCCAGGAACACACACTGCAAAGCAAAGGATGCTGCTGGTGCTCTGATGTCTGGGGCTGCCTCTGCCCAGGAGTTCCTTTCCTGATTTTTGTTGTATTTAGAGAAGTTTACAAGCTTTTATAAGGAAGCATTTTGACTCCTTAATCTTGTAGTAATAACATTGTGGATTCTCTTAGAAAAACGTTTAATTAATTAAGCTTTAAACCATTGTACAAAAATGTGTATGTGTACATACGTACATACAGTACATAAATGGGTATACTTAAGTGTATGTACATATATGTGCATATTACACACGTGTATGTGTATTACACAAATGTTGTACAGGGTGAGAACCTGGAGAAGGAGTAATCTGGAACAGGAGCTTTCCAGATCCCATGGAAATCTGATCCGCTTTGGGTTTTACTCTAGCAGTTGGGATCCCATGGACGTCTGAACCGCTCCGGGATTTACTCCAACAGTCCGAATACATTGGAATTCTGATCCGCTCCAGGTTTCACTCTACCCGTCTGGATCCCTAGGAAGTCTGATCTGGTCCGGGTTTTACACTACCATACCAGATCCCATGGAAGTATGATTCGATCCGGGTTTAACTCTACCAGTTCACATCCCATGGGAATCTGATCTGCTCAGGGTAATACTCCACCAGTCTGGATTGCTTGGAAGTCTGATCAGCTCCTAGTTTTACCCTACCAGTCTGGATCCCACGGAAGTCTGATCCGCTCATTCGTATCGATCTACCAGTTCAGATACTAGTCTATACGGATTCAAGACTTTAGTCTACGAGTCCAGATCCCTTGGTTGTCCGATCCACTCCAGGATTGACTCTACCATTCCAGATCCCATGGAAGTGTGATCCGGTTCAGGTTTTACTTTACCAGTCCAGATTGCTTGGAAGTCTGATCCGGTTCGGATTTTACTCTACCATTCCAGATCCCGCTGAAATATGATCCGCTCCGGTTTTCTATCTATCATTCCGGATACTAGTCAATCTGGATAATAGTCTTTAGTCTACTAGTCTGGATCCCTGGTGAATCTTATCCTCTCCGGGTTTCACTCCACCAGTCCGGATCCCACGGAAGTCTGATCCACTCTGGGTTTTACTCTAACAGTCCAGATCCCTTCAAAGTCTGATCCAGTCTGGGTTTCCCTCTACCAGTCCAGATACCATGGGAGTCTGATCTGCACCGTGTTTTCACTTCCTGACCAGATCCCATAGAAGTGTGATCTGCTCTGAGTTTAGCGGATCACAATTCCATTGCATCTTACTAAACCTAACAGTCCGGATCCCATGGAAGTATGATCCGGTTCGGGTATCGATCTATGGATACTAGTCTTTAGTCTACTAGTTTGGATCACTGTGGAGTCTGGTCCGCTCTGGGTTTTACTCTACCAGTCTAGATTCCTAGGAAGTCCGATCCGCTCCGGGTTTTACTCCACCAGTCCAAATCCCATGGTAGTCCGATCCGCTCCGGGTTTTCCTCTACCAGACCAGATCCCATAGAAGACTTAAAATGTCCTGGATTTGCTCTTACAACCCGGATCCCTTGGGATTCCTATCCGTTCCGAGACTTGCTCTGCCAGTCCGGATCCCATGAGAGTCTGATCCGTTCCAGGATTTACACTACTGTACTGGATCCCACGGAAGTATGATTCGCTCTGGGTTTTACTAAACCAGTCCGGATCCCCAGGAAGTCTGATCCAGTCCTGGATTTACTCTACCTGACTGAATCCGATGGAAATCTGATCCACTCCGTGTTTCGATCTACCAGTTCGGATCTAGTCTATCCGTATACTAGACTTCAGTCTACGACTCCGGATCCCATGTGAGTCTGATCAGCTCCGGGTTTTACTCTACCAGTCCGGATTGCTTGGAAGTATGATCCGGTTCGGGTTAAAGTCTACCAGTCCGGATCCCTTGGGAGTCTGATCCGCTCCGG